CTTGAATAAGATTTTGATATATTCATTTATTTGTTGTAGGCATGTATGCTTAAGGATTGATTCTTTCAAAATACTGTTCGTTAATTATTTGACAATTTCATACATGTATGCAACATATTTCATCTATGTTCATTCTTTACTCCTCTCTCTGACTTCTCCAAAATCTAACTCTACTCCTCCCTTCCTAACTTTGTGTTCCCCCTTTTAAAATAACCTACCAGGTCCAATTTATTACAATCCTTGTTTTATTCATCCTATTATATAACATGTCCTGTCATTACTGTTACTAATTTTGATGCTCAAATTGTCTCCAAATTGGCCAGTGGGATACCTTCAAGCTGACTTCTGTATCCTTTTGGCAAATTCTCTAACTTAGTGAACGTTGGCCTTTTGTTTTGGTTCAAAAATATGTTCCAGGATTATTTCTTATTTCTTTTCTTAACTTTCTGCAGAAGACTTTGCTTTTAAACAAAATGGTAAGAAACCAAGATCTGGATGGGAAGAGTGATGACTGTTATCTAGTACCAAATGATCTACTCTGAAAACATAAAGATATAAGTAGTAGTATATAGATTGATCCAGTTATGTTTAGGAATATGTATGTATATACATATATTCATGTAACTAACAATTAATGAAAAATAGGCCATGAATTTGAAAGAGATAAAGGGGGGATGTGGGAGGGTTTGGAGGAGGAAAAGGAAGAGCAAATGATGTAGTTATAATCTCAAAAATAAAAAAAAATTGAAAGTTAAGTTTCCTTGTAGCCCATTTATTTCATTTTTCACTATTATTATTACTACTTCAACCATACAAATTTTTAGTGTGACTGTTGTCATCTTTTCATTTTAGAAAAATGAGCTTCATTAGAGCATTTAATTTGTCCATTTTGCTCACTGTTTCCATTGGTTTTCTATGTTTTGCCTCAATGAAAGATGTTAGCTTAGGGAAGTTAAGTAGTTCTGCTAAGTGGCAGACCTAAAATCTGAGATAGTTAGCATTCAGAGATACTAATAGAAAACTTCTAGGAGCCAGGCTGTGATGGCACACTCCTTTAATTCCAGCACTTGGGAGGCAGAGGCAAGTGGATCTCTTTGAGTTTGAGGCCAGCCTATCTACAGAGCAAGTTCCAGGACAGGCTCCAAAGCTACACAGATAAACCCTGACTCAAGAAAGAAAAAAGAAAGAAAAGAAAAAAGAAAACTTCTAGTTGGTAGAATTTGAAACCATAGTCTTAGAATATTATACTAGTAAATTGCTGTTCCTAGCACTGGAGAGATGGAGGCTACTTTGAGGTCATCATAGCTGTGTTGTTTTTAATGGGAAAACACATGGTGATTTTCAGAGGAAATAATGATAAATGAAGTTTTATAAAATTATCTATTCATGGTTCTCAATACTGAATGGATATGGAAACATAATTAATTGTTAATGATTCTAAAAGCTTGGTTGGGGGAAACAGTATGAGGGATATTAGGTACTGAAAATTTTTAATTAGAATATTCCTCTAGAAACAAATTTTAAGTGTAACACTGTAATCTGGAAATAGACCTATGCTGATACTGTATATGAGTTTTCCAGTGTTTGCAACTTTCCCAAAACTAATAATTCATGATTATAATCGATAGCAATTTTGCTTTTATTAAAAACACTTTGTATTTTTTGTAGACTAGTAGATGAGATAAGCTATTTCAATTTAATTTTGAATATGCATTTCTACATAATAATAAATATTCACAATACTCAAATGCATATATATATACATATATATATGTATATATATATATATATAGCCATTTTGTGCGTTCTATACTTACAGAATTATCTTACTTAGTAAAATTTACTTTCAGCCTCAAAATCAGCACTTAAAACCATTAATTTGGTTTTTTGTTTTGTTTTGTTTCTTTTTTGGTTACTGATTTTATTGCTTGTTTCTTCCAGGCATTCACAGAGTCAAGAAATTTGAATTTTTTGATGCTGAGCTCTCATACTGTAAACAGGCATCACATAATATTTATTGGTATAGGTCCCCCTGACTTTTTGGTGATTTTGGTGTGTAAAGTGGCCCTACATGTAGCAGTGAACTCAGTGTAACAGCTAGGGCTGTTAGTGACTGAGAGGCTGTGATGTGCCTGTGTTATGCATACTTCTTACTGAGACATGAAATTATTCAATAATAAATGAGCAGTATGTGTTAAATATGTTGACTTAAAACAGAATCACAGCTACAGCCAGGTTATGCTGTGGTTGATTCTGAAAATGGAATGGCCAAGGGTGAATAGGAGCCTAACCCTTTCTTCCCTAGGGAAAATAATTCAGAATCATAGAGTCTAATGTCCTGACAACTTCATAGACTATAACTACCATAAACAGTAAGAAGTCACTGTGTGTATATGTAGTTTATTAAACTCCAGTGAAATCTACTCTTGTATCTTTTGTATATTTGTTTTCTGGAGGTGATACCCAAGTTCAAATCTAAATACAATGAATGGTTACTAATGAGTATCTTTTTTACTAATGAATATTTTTAAATATTTAAATTATAATTTAAAATTATTAACCATATTGAACATATTTAATTTGCATTTATGATTTTTCTTTAAAAAGTAATACTCTTATACTTATAAATTAGGAGAAATATTGCCAGTACTTTTCACAATCCCATGCCTCATTTGGATCAAGTCCTCCTCACAAGTCAACCAGTCTTTGGAATTTTGTGATTATTATTCCTCTACATTTCCTAGCTGCTGTCATATTTGCAAATAGCTTTGAAAAATTCTCTGAGTATATATCAAAGAGAAGAAGTTGTGCTTAAGAGTCAAGTTTTATATTCATCTTCTGAACTTGGTTATACATGTCAACAAATCTTCAAAGCTAGAGATCCACAAAGCAAATATAGGTAACAGTGAGAGCCTGAGCTCTGGAGCTAGAACACTTAGTGTGATTATTGCTTTCATGTTTTCCTTTTTTTTTTTTTTGTAAGAGGTATCCAAAGAAATAGTTTTATTTTATGTTCATATAAACTAAGAAAGCGACACTTTAATTTTGACTTTTCAACTGTTTATAAATCAGATAATATCTTCTTATTGTCCTTAATATCCCTTATCTTAATATCCCTTATCTCATTTGGAAAAAGTTTTTTAATAAAATTACATGTCGTGGGCTTGTTTTCATTGCCTCTAAATTCATGAAGAGGAGAAATATGTATATTTTAACACTAATAATGTTGTTTGAAACACACACACAGACATACACACACACACACACACACACACACACACACACACACACACACACACACACACACACATACACACACACTTGACTATAGAGCTTCCAAAAACAGTTTTGTTGTAGACTAGTACTTACCCCAATAACCGCCACTTATTGGGCACATTGGGGACCATACCATGCACTAACTGTGTTATATTAGTTAATCCTTAAATGACTCATGTACAATGCTGGCCTTTTATTTCTGTTTCAAAACTTAAGTTTTCCTTGGAACTTAACATGGAACATGGAAAAGGACACTAAGACACCAACTCTAACAATACATACACATTTGCATGTGTGCATTCATGTGTGAAAATTATAAGATTATCAGTATGTGTGGTTCTATTCCTTGCAACTTTAACATAGTGTTTCCAAAGCACTAATCTACAGTGTAGCTGTGTGTAGAGAGTCTTTTATAATGGCTTCTGGTGTGTTGAGGTTTGCAGTGTACTTTGGTATTGAAGATTTGGCACCAGACTGCTTGAATGTGGCTCTCACCTTTTAGTGAGTACCTGTGTGAAATTGGAAAAAGAGTTAAATCATTGTACCTTAGTTTCCTTATTTGTGATGGAGGGAGTAATTAAAGTGATATTAGTTACCAAATTGGTATGAGGAATTAACTGCCCAAATCTGAGTAATTTTCTGACCTGTGGTGAAGAATGTATGATTGTAAGTTATGACAATTTGTTGTCTTCGGGACATTGTTTTTGTTTTTTTAAAGCTCTTATTTTGTTTTATTGTTTTAATTAATAAAATAAAACAAGGATTTGTGGCTGACTTGTTGGTTACATTTCTGTTAATGGGCAGAGTACTACCAAAGATGCTAGAACATAGGACTGACAGCTCTATATAGGAACCAGCTCAACTTTTCCATGTTCATTGAGTTGTGTCGGTGTTATCTTTGGCACTGTGGCCTTGCTGTCCATTTGTGGAGAGCACCCTTTCGTCTTGGTAGCTTGCCTAGGTTATTTGGGGTTCCATTGGAACCCCTTTGACCAACTACTGAATTACATGAAAACCAATCCTGGGACTTGAAGCTTTGTTTGGTGACAAGAGATGGCCGGCTTAGACTCCATCTCCCCCATTATTTGGCAATTTCATTTAGATTGCCTTCATATATATATATATATATATTTTAGGAAGCTTCTACTCTTGTTTCCCTATTACCCCTCAAAGAGCCCTTAATTTTAGCTATTTTACCCCCTCATCCAATATCCTTTCCACCCAACTTGTTGCTCCCATTCCAGTCCCACATTCATCCATAACTATTCAGTTTCCCTTACCAAACAGGATTTATCTGTATCCCTAGTCCCTTACTCTGTACTTACCCTCTGTGATTCTGTGGGTTGTAGCTTACCATTGATTTAACAGCTAATATCCACTTGTAAGTGAACACATACCATATTTCTCTTTCTGGCTTATCTCACTCAGGAAGGTTTTTAGTTCCATCCATTTTCCTGTGAATTTCAGGATTTTTTTAAATGTCTGATTAATACTCCATTATATAAATTAACCACATTGTCTTCTGTTGGAGGATATCTAGGTTGTTTCCAGTTTCTGGCTATTATGAATAGAGCAGCAAAGAGCATGGTTGAGCAAATGTCTCTAGTAGGATGAAGTGTGACAGAAAGGTCAAAGACAGGACAAGCAGGCACCTGATGTGAACCAACCCTTAAGTTAAAATTTATGAATCTTCTTACTGTGACTTTTTCATTGTCTTTCTCTAGGCCTACTCAGTGTATGATGAAGACATTGGGTACTGTCAAGGACAGTCTTTTCTTGCTGCTGTATTGCTGTTGCATGTAAGTAATTTTCTGTGTGCTAAATAGCATAGTTTCTTTTCTACGTTTTTACATTCCTGCTGATTTCCTTTTGAGGAAGATTACATGTGGCATATCTCTTTAAATTGTACCTTGGGTGATAAATTAAAAGATCTGATGTCCAAGACAGGACAGTTTTTCAATTAGGTTTGCTGACTAGAAGCAAACAAATTGCTTATTTGGAGTTATTTTTAGCTCAACTATCTCGAATAAAGAAGTCAGCATAAGCACAAATATCAGAACTCAGACCACTATGAAGTACTATACTATAACAAGGAAATCTAGATTTTCTGTGATTTATTTTTATACACTCCTCCTTCCTGTCAGTCACTTTCATTTAGCATCGATTGACAGGTTCTGGGCTGCAAGGGGGATTAGAGATGAATCATTTGTAAATTTTTTCCAGGATGGGACACAAATGATGTACATACAAACTTATTTTTGGTCTCCTTTCTTTGTCTTCATTGATTTTTCTGATGGGAGAGACAATACATGCTCCCTGAGAATTTAGTGTGCTCATCTAAGGAAAGCACTGGGGCGAGACAGTAGACAGCACACTTGCACAACACATTTCTGCCAGAATTGTTAGAAAAGCTTTCTGAAGCAGGTGGCTATTTTGGCAAGAAATGATAATTAAAGTTTAGGAATTGGAGACAAAAGAACAGAGCAAGTGTATGAAATGGGTACTATATTTAGAGAGAAACCACATGAGATTGCACTTTACTACATATTGGAAGTAGTGTGGGGGGAATGGCAAGATAGGCAGAAGCTACATGATAAATACTACAGCACCCTTCCACTAAAGTGACTTCCTTCTAACACGAATGAGCAGTCAGTAAGCAAGGGTTGACATTCATATTCTTGTTTAGTGGGCAGAACTGAGGAGAACACACAGTAGTGGTGATACTAGCTTAAAAGCATCAGTCTCTACAAAATATGTTGGGACTGTGAAAAAGAAGAAAGTGAGAAACATTTAAAAGAAAAAATTGGTAGGTTCTGGATTAGTAAAGGAAATGTCAAAGGTGACATGCCCAGTTTTCTAGTTTGGTGACTAGTGGCAGGGTACTTTTATCTGAAAGAATTATGCTAGATTGAATGGAAGCTCTTTGGGGTTAATTAATTTTGTATTAAATTCTTTGAATCTTGGATTTCCTGAAACTCTATTAGAGCTGACACTAGAGACTGACACCCTGGGGAGACATAAAGCTGACATATGAGAATAGACCAGATTGTCTCAGGAGAATAAACAAGACTAGGAAAATGAGGGTGAAATTAGAGAACACCAAACATGGAAATGTTTGAAGAAGAAGTGGAATATTTTACCTATTTGCCTTCTTACTCACTAAGAAGAAAACAATTCATAGTGTCAGGTGCAGCAAAGAGGCCCAACAACTTTAAACTAAGGCATTGCTTTGAATCTAGTACTCTGAAATTGAGCATTTGTGGTAGATCCACTGTCTTAATGTGGACTACCTTGTTCTAGTAAAAGTGATTCTCATGGCAATGTTGTCATGATTCTCCTTACCTCACTTTAAGCTAATGCCCCTCTTGCTGCATCATCTTACATTTATTATCCTGTCTGTGATCTTGCTTTTCTTCTCTTTTTGATATCTTCACACCCTACTTTCTGATGCCCTGTGATATCAAACACTTTATAGTCCCAATTCTTTTGGGGCCCTTCTTCTAGCACTGAATGCAAGTAGTATACAGAATGGTTAGGTCCCTCAGGAGACTGGACAGTGTGAGTAGTGGTGTGTGTTCTTCCCGGCTCAGAGCCAACTTTCTTCTAAAGGAACCTTTGTACTCACTGAGATGAAAAGCTGAGATTCAAGTCAAGAGTGGTACTGCTTTTTTTTTTTGCACAAAATAATCCTTGAATATTCCTAGATAATAATTTTTACCTCTGTCCATTGTGTGTCACATTTGGGGGAGATGTGACCCAGTATCTGCTTATCTTAGACAGGCAGCAGTGACAGACCAGCCGGGGAACAGATGAGGGTATGAGAGCAGGGATGACTCAAAGACAGCTATATCACCAAAAAACATTCACTCTCACCTAAATGACAACTCATAAAAGCTGAATCCATGAAGATCCCAACACAGTTTGCAGCTGGTTGGAGAGTCCTCTTTTCTAGCAGTTATTACTGTTTAATAACCTGGGGGAAGGGACTTGTGACCCTTCTAACACTTAGGACTTTCTTGAGACTTCTAAGTTTATTCCATTCCTGAGGCTTGTAAGACTTCTAAGTTTCATTTACTTTCTGGATCTTAAAGAGCCTCTGTCCAAGATGGATTGCTTGAATTTAGAAGAAATCACTACACAATATAGCCCTTTCTATAAATGTATGATAATCCATTGATTAAAGTTACGTGAGAACATAGGGCTAAGAAATCTAGCATGAGGTTTCTGGGAGGCTTAGCTTATTTTCATGTTTGTAACTATTTGGAAATGTACCCACATAATTGTTCTCCTCCTAAGGAGAGCAAAATGAGTCAAATAACTAGAAAAGTCAAATAATCAGAATTTTTATGCACTACCTATTTGCAATAATGAAGGCCATATAACAAGTCAGCCTTTGTGAATTTGGTCACCAAAATATCTCCCAAGACAGGCAGACATCCTTTTTTTTTCCGTTTAGAAACAATCATTTTACATATCAATTCTCCCTTCCCTCTTCCTCCCCTCCTCTCATGCCCCCTACTAACTCCCCAACTCACCCCCACCTGCTCCCCAAGGACAGTGAGGCCTTCCATGGGGGGAATTATCAAAGTCTGTCACATCATTTGGTCTGGGCTGACATAGTATCCTTCCATAGGGAATGGGCTCCCAAAGTCCATTTGTGCACTAGGGATAAACACTGGCTCTGCTTTTAGAGGTCCCATAGACTGCCCTGGCCTCCTAGTTGGCACCCACATTCTGAGGATTTGGTTCAGTCCAATGCTGGTTCCCCAGCTTTACCACTTGGGTCCATGTGCTCTCACTAGGTCAAGTCAGATGGTTCTGTAGGTTTCTCCAGTGAAGTCTTGACTACTTTGGTCATCCCTTCTCCCTCTCTGCAGCTGGATTCCAGGAGTATGGTTCAGTGCTTAGCTGTGGGTACCTGCTTCTGCTTCCATCAGCTACTGGATAAGGCTCTAGGATGGCAATTAATGTAGTCATCAATCTCATTATAGGGGAAGGGCATCAAAGACGGCCTCTCTACTACTGCCTAGATTCTTAGTTGGGGTCATCTTTATGGATCTCTGAACATTTCCCTAGTGCCAGATTTCTCTTTAAACCTATACTGGCTCCCTCTATTAAGGTATCTCTTTTCTTGCTCTCCTCTATTCCTCCCCTGTCTCAGTCTTCCTGATCCCTCTTGTTCTCCTCCCACTCCTTTTCTCCTCTTCTTTTTTTCCTACCTCCCCCACCCTGTGCTCAAGACAGACATCCTAAATGTTTCTCAAACTCTAAATTAATTAAGTAATGTAGTCATTGTCATGGATTTTAAAAATAACTAGAAAGACAGAAATGCCTTCAGGATCCTTAAGAAAAGTTTAACTGATATTCAACATTATATTAATGAAAATGTATTCTAATTTGTAATTTGTATTTTTTTTATAAATTAACCAACATATTTTGTTAGCCTATCAACCTGTCAGCTAGTTTGAGTAACAGAAAGGCCTTTTCCTATGTCATTCTTCTCTGTTGTCTAAGCCAGTAGAAAACCATAGGTTACCCTAAAGAATTCATCAAGCACACCATCTCAAGCCCAGAGAGATATTATTAGGGTCATACTGACTAATAATTTTATCAGTTACATAAGCTGCTCATGCTTTTTGCTGCAGTCGTCCTTGGCAGCTGCATATTAATCATTGCCAGAGTCTGCTTCTTTGTGGAATGCTGTCCTTCCTGCACCCATAATCATTTATAGTTTGCATTCATTACCTAAGAGGAAAGAAAAACCAAAAGTAGATTCAAAAATAAAATTCTGAATTTTTCAAAAGTTTCATATCCAAATAGTCTGTTAAAATTAGATTCTTCTGTGTGTAGAAATTTCTCAGGGGCTTTGGCAATATCTCCGTGGCATTGAATAGTTTAAACAGTACAAGGATTATCAAATAGATACTGTTACATACATTGAGTGAGTTATGAGAAATATGTTATCTGTAGTTAGAGAGTAATGTAGCATGGGTAGCTTAGAACCACAATTTTCAACTACGTTAGAACTTAAATGTAGATAATCTTTAATATCACCATATTGATATTAATAGATCCAGTGAATGATTATATATTTCATTTTCTATAAAAATCATATGTAATTTTAACCTAGTATGTTTTTCTACTATATGCATTGCTGAGTACTTTTAAACTAGTTTAAATTGAATGTGTACTCTTTTTGATCTTTACAAAGTCATGCTCATTTTTTTAAGGTTAAATTACTATATTTTTAACTATTTGGCATGCAGGGAAACTCTCCAGATACAAGAAGGATTGTGTTAAATAATCCATAATATTTAAATGTATTGTGTTAAAAAAGTCTGTAAGTAGGCACAAGGCCTTTATTTTTTCTGATATATATATATATATATATATATATATATATATATATATATATATATATATCAGATATATATCTGCACACACAGAGTGATTTTACTCACAGGTACACTTTAATGTTTTGATCAAATACTTTACACATATACATCACAACTCCTGGTTTAATTGCCCAAACATGAGTGTTTATAATCCTCTGGTTCAGTTCTCAACACCCACATGGTGGCTTACACTGTTTGTAATTCCAGCTCCAAAGGATTCAGTACGTTCTTCTGGTCTCCACAGGTACAAGGCACCCATGTGGTGTGCATACATATGTTCAGGCAAAGCACTCATACAAATAGAACAAAATAAACCACTCTTTTAAAACAACAACAAAAACATTGGAAAAAAAATATCCTCTGTTGTTGCAATCCCAACTTCCAGTTGAAATGAAACATTTAAATGACTATGTGGTAGTATTTTGTGTAGTAGAATGTCATAGAAATGAAAAGAATGTTTACACTGTATAAATTATTATGAATGAATCCTATAAGCATAAGTTCAAATAAAGAAAGTGTTAAGATTACATTTGGTGTGATTCAGTTTTATATAACATTCTATCATGGGCAATTATTTTTTTAGAATATTATATATATGAAGAGAAATATATAGTACAACAATATAATGGTTCTGTTGAAGTCAGGATGGTGAATTTTCTAGGGAGAGCTGTGTTAGGAGAGGTTCATGACTGAAAAGGCTTACACAGGGATCTTCAATGGTAAAACAGTATTTTCTTTCTTAGACTAGCTGGTGGCTGCATTGAGACCTTGTGGGGTTTTGTTTGTTTGTTTTATTTTTTTGTTTTTTGTTTTATTACCAGTTATTTATTAAAGCATACATTTGACTTTTGTGTATTTTGTGAATTCTATTTCAGAATAAAATAGATTAAAAGGTTATTAGTCCCTTAATGGAATTTCCCTTAAAGACAGGATTAAGATATGACTTTCTTAGTGGCAATAAGTAATGACAAGCATATCAGGCTGAAGAGATGGCTCAGGGATTGAGCGCTAATTGCTGTTCTAGAGGCCTTGAGTTCAGTTCCTAGCACCCAAATCAGACAGCTCACCGCCATTAACTCCAGCTCTAGGGGACCTGAGGTCCTTGTCTGGCCTCCATAGGCACCACTCATATATGTGATATACATACATGTACATAACATGCAAACACATAAAACAACAATAATAAAGTATTATAAAGAAAAAAAAAGAAATAAGGAACAGAGTTACTTACTACTTGTCTTGTAAATCAAGATTCCACAGAATCAAGATAGCAGCATTCAGATGTCTTTATTTGTATATTGCATATAACCAAAGCTATTTGTAACATATTTTTCTGGACTTTTTCTACTATGTGTGATAGACCTTAGCTCAAGGGACATTTATTGGCTTTAAACTGGGAGTTCAATGGCAGAGATTTTAATGTGGTTGAAATCCAGGCCTTTTATTTTGTCATCCTAAATCTCTGTAGTTGGGCTTGTCTGCCCCTTCCAAACAGAACCCCTTCAAAGGATATTTAAGAGAAATCTATGAAATTGAATCACTATTTAATGTTTCTTAGGTTAATGTGACCTTGGGCAGGATTCCTAAACCACAGTTCAATTTCTTCCTTTATGATATGGAAATAATATCATTACCTTTGTAGGAATGACCTTGTTATGAGTGTAAAAAATATGACTTACTTTATACATGTCACAAAAGAGAAGTCATGATATGAAATTCGCTTTCCTTAATGGACTTAATATTATTGGTAATTACTTAATGCCTCTGAACCTCACTAGTCTCATATTTCAAATGTAAAAGTAATGTCTACTCTAAGATTTTTGTGAGAATCAGGTGGATTCATGAATGTATCTAGTAATGGTAGCTTCTATTATTTCTAAAATTAACAATTATATGTACATCCTATTATCTTTTTGCCCCTGATCCTGCTTATTTAAATTGGTAACACATAGGAAGCTAATGAGCAAGCATTCCATTTAATTGCGTTTTAGCATTTATTTGATTTAAAGGGGAAAGTAAACAAAGAGCTAGCAGTTAACATTTTATTTGCATTTCAACATATGAACAGAAAAGGAAGAGTCATGAGCTTATGACTTTCCAAATAATCAGCATCTATCGTTATTGGAAAGAAAGTCAGGAAATCAGTAGAGTATTCACTGCTTTCAGAGAAACAGGTAGATCATTCCAAAAGATGCAAAACATAGTGAGGTGGAGTAAGAAACCATTTTACAGTTGATGTCCTTGGATCCTGTTACCATCGAGAGCCATGGGGATGCCCAGGATCAGTTCAGCCACCTGAGACCATGTTGGTGTCCGAGGGTCATGCTGCCAACAGGGTCATACGGATCTGGGTGGCCTGTGCTGCCACCAGGGCCATTGTCTCAGTTAAGGTTTCTATTGCTGTGAAGAGACACCAAGACCATGGCAACTCTTATAAAGGAAAACATTTGAGGTGGCAGCTTATAGTTTCAGAGGTCTAGTCCATTGTCATCATGGTGGGACATGGTGGCTTGCAGGCAGACATGGTACTATGAGACGTAGCTGGGAGTTCTACATCTTGCAGGCAATAGGAAGTGAACTTTGGATGTAGCTTGAACATAATATACGATACCTCAAATCCCACCTCCACAGTGACACACTTTTTCCAACAAGACCACACCTACTTCAACAAGGCCACAACTCCCAATAGTGGCACTTCTATTGGGGGCCATTCTCTTTCAAACCACCATAGCCATGTTGATGTCCAGGTTTGAGCTGCTGCCAAGGGCCATATGTGAGTCCATGGTTCTACTGCACCTGCGGTCTGTGTTGCTCTCCATGGCCTGTGTTAGCACAGGGTGTCATAGGAACCATGCATATTGAAAAATCTGAGGGCTGTGCTCTGCCTGCACTGCCCTTTGCTGGCCCTGGGATAGCTGGTCCTGCCCCTTGCTGACCTCTGAAGCAGAAGAGCTGGCCCCACTTCTCCCAGAATAACAGGCCCCACAATTTGGACAGATGGTCCCACCCCTCACTATAGTCTTCCCAGTGACACACTAAAAAACTAAAATTTGCATGCAAATGCTGGTGGTGAGGGCATGGAAAAGATGCCCTCTCCCCTTGCCCCTGCCACCTGTGGTGGGGTTACCAGAAGTTATGAATAATTTAATGTGCTGAGAACTTGATTCTGGTCCTCTGCAAGAGCAGTGTGTTAATTTGCTTTCCATTGCTATGATAAACAGTGACCAAAATAAATTTCTGGAGGAAAAAGCTTGTTTCACCTTTTACAGAAAAGTTGGGGTAGGAACTGAAGGCAGCTATTGGAGCAGAGAGGGTAGAGGAACAGTGCTTACTGGCTTGCACCTCTGGCTCACATTCAGCTATCTTTCCCTTTTTTCTTTTTCTTTCTTTTTTTGGGGGGTGGAGTGGGGTGGGAGGTTTGAAAACAAGGTTTCTCTGTGTAGTCCTGACTCTCATGGATCTTGCTTTGTAGACCAGGCTGTTCTCAAACTCACAGAAATCCACCAGCCTCTGTCTCCTGAGTGCTGGAATTAAAGTCATGTACAACCATTACCATGCATTAGCTACCTTTCTCATGCATCCCAGAACCGCATGTCTAAGGATGGTATCATCCACAGTGGCTGGGCCCACCCACATCAATCATTGATCAAGAAAATGCTCTAAAGTATTGCCTACAGACCAAGATGATGGGGGGTTTTCTCAATTGATGTTCCTTTACCCCAACTGTAGCTTATGTCAATTAAAAATAAAACAAAAAACTAATAAGGACAAGCAGCAAGAGCTCTTTAGTGCTGAGCCATCTTTGAGGCTTTGCAGCATATTTTCTGTAGTCACCATGCATTTCTGGGAAGTGTATTTGAGGTCCATGATTGACTATAGTTTATTGCAGATTAGTGTGTCACATAAAATATAGAGAGGTGATGGTTTTACTGCCGGCATGATCTAATGCCCTGTGTTAGATGCCAGATGATGTGTTTATCTAAGTTATTCTTTTATCAATAAAAACTCAGGAGTCAGATATTGGGTTGCATACCTGATAGATCTAGAAAGCAGGGGAGAAACAAAGGGCTGACTCTACCTTCCAAGATCAAAACAATTATGAAATCTCCCTAAGCCTCACCTTATCTCTTCCTGTACCTTTCTACCTGGCCCTCTAAAATATCTTTGGCTAATTTTCGTTAGCTTGTTAAGGACTCTGCCCGTTGATTAAAGGTTTAACTTTATTAGTAGTCTCAGATTGTCAGTGCAAACAAATATCCCACAACATTTAGTTATCCCTTGGACATTAAGTATGACAACTTTGTCTCTCTGCTTGCTATAATTTTCAGAATATTGACTACTTTCCTGTTTGTATTGTTAGAGCTCTGTGATATCATAATTACCAAATTCATTCCTTTGATTTCAGGCTTTATTCTCTGTTCAATAAAATATCTCTGAAAATATTGATTTATTTTGGTCATTTAAATCTTATTGATAGAAACTCATCAGATCCTTTTCTATTTTTTTATTGAGAGGAAAATAGCAACATGAAGAAGATTCTAGAAGGATAGAATTACACTATCAAAATTCAAAATAGGACCAAAGATTGATGGCCTAACACCTATAACTATGGAATTTGGGAGGTTTAGGCAATACATAATGAGCCCTTGTTTCAAAAACCAAGCAATAAATAAACAGAAGCCCATTTATTCTTTGTCAGTCTAGTTCTTTTGTGACTATACCTTACTGTAGCCCATTCCTGTGGCAAAGGCTATGTGTACTGTTAAAAGTGATGTGTAGACGAAGTTGCTTGTTGAAGCTATTGGTGATAGAAAATTAATAGTAACTTGGTTATCTATTCATAGGAGCCTGATTTGATGAATTCCAGAATATTCACACACTCGGATACTCTACAACTATTATAAAAATAAAGATGCAACTGTTTATATAAAAAGAGGGAAATAATTCAATATGTTAATGGGAGAAAATCAAAATTGTTATATAAGTATATGGTATATATTTACCTTTTGTGTAGGAAAGAGGAAAGTAAAATAGGATATAATTGTTTTATAGAGAAAAAATATGTGAAGTCTTTTTTAATGCAGAAACCCTGGCAGGGCTCAGAATTATTGAGTAGTTAGGAGATTTTGCTCCAGAGACCAGGGAGCAGGTGTCTAAGTGTAATGTCATAACAGACCTTCAGCCATTTTTGTGGAGGACTTGAAAGACCTTTTGATATATTCTGAACAAGTGGCTTCATTTATATTTCATATGTGTGTTTCCTGTAGATGCCAGAGGAGCAAGCCTTCTGTGTTTTGGTGAAAATCATGTGTAACTATGGATTGCGAGATTTGTACAAAAACAATTTTGAAGATCTTCATTGCAAATTCTATCAACTTGAGAAACTAATGCAGGTAAGGAAAAGTGAGAAATTCTATTACCCACAAATTTGTTATAAAAAACCCCTAACATAATTGATGAACAATAATTAATTACGAAGGTGAAATGAATAAAACTGAAAATGTAAATAGGCTTGTTTTTATTTTATTAATGCTTTTGACTTTTCAGACATGAAAGTTAATTTTTTCAAAAGTCGGTGTACCTTGTCTTTAAAAGTCAAATAACTATATCTAATAAATGAAGAATTATTTGGGCTTGATGACATTTAGATATCTTATTTAAACTATCAAAAAGATACCTTTTCAAAGTGATCATTTTGCACAATAAATGGGTGTGTGTGTGTGTGTGTGTGTGTGTGTGTGTTTGTGTTTGTGTTTGTGTTTGTGTATGTGTATGTGTATGTGTGTGGGGTCTGTTTGTCGAGGAAAATGAACATGAGTTTTTCTATGTCTTTGCTTCTGTCCTTCAGTTATGGGAATACTTTGTGCTTGGACTCTCATGCCTTTGAAAAGCATTTGCATGTTTAGCTAGTGAAAGAGTAAAGGTAGCAAAAAGGCATTGTTAGGAGCAGTTATCTTTATTATACTCTTGTACAATTTTATTTTGTCATTTTCATATGATCAAGATGGGTTTTTAAAGATGTATATTATTACCTTTATTTATATGTATGTATGTATGTATGTATATATCTACATGCATATGCATTTATGTTTGGGTCACCATGGTGACCAGAGGAGGGCAGCAGATCTCTGTTAAATGGGAGATACCTGACTTGGGTGCAGGGAACCAAACTCAGGTCCTCTGTAAGAGCTCTGAACTGCTGAAGCATCTCTCCACCCCTCAGATAGTTTTTAATATCTGGCAATGCTTTGGAGTTTTCCAAGTACTCAAGAATATCCTAAAATCATACTATATATCACAGATAATGTTGTTTGACAATTTACAAGGTGAAGATACATTTTGCTTATAAATATCTAGGAGGAAAATCCTAGGTCTTACCTTGGAGTCAGGATTTTCTTTGGAATGAAGGTGTTCTGAGAAAACAAGATTTTCCAAGGAAGCAAGAACACTTGTGATAGCAAAGATAAGTTTTGTTATAACAAGTGTTTTCAGTCTACACTCATCTGTTATCTGTTCAATTCCCATCTCCTGTCATCACGTCTGTACACTGACATAAAAGACAACCAGTGCTGGAATACAATTTGAGTACAACAGAGAGCTTGATATAAATTGCAGTTGTTGCAAGAAGTAAAGCTTCTTCAACTATTGCCCCTCTAAATCTTTGATTTTGACTTCTAGGAACAGCTGCCGGACCTGTACAACCATTTTTGTGATCTGAACCTGGAAGCTCATATGTACGCATCCCAGTGGTTCCTCACTCTTTTTACTGCCAAGTTTCCTCTCTGCATGGTGTTCCACATCATTGACCTACTGCTGTGTGAGGTACAGTAGCCAGTTTTATACTTGTGCGAACTAGAAAAGTCTACTTAGAACAAGTTTTCTTTTTTCCCATACTTTTCTTTTTAACCCATACTCACAGACCAAAATTTCATTTGAATTTTTAATAGAGATTATGTAATTTTATTATTTGTCAGTAATAAAAATATTATGTAATTCCCACAAAATAAAATTAGAAGGTTAAATTTGTATAATTATATTCCTAATAAGCTTATATCTGTGAATAATATATTACCAGTGTAACTTAAAAAGGTTAAATAAATGCATTTAGAGTCAGGGGTTTTTAATATTGATGTATTTATATTACATTAAGGAATATGATTGAGCACACACACACACACACACACACACACAGTAATTCAGTCCTCCATTTGTTATCTTCCTTTGTGTATGTGGTATTTTTGGTTCCTCCAAGAGAGAAAAATTTTAGATCATGTAATTTTCCTTTGCTTTCCTTCTTCACTTCCTCTTTCCTTCTTGCAGTAGCAGGATTCAAACCTTTAGATTTATGTGTTCTGCCACTGAATTACAGCCTCATCCCTTTTATATTTTTAGGCAATAGAATGTGTCAGGAATTCATTTTCAAAAATTCCTTTGCTATTTGCCTTTATTTAGTTTATAATTTTTATTTCCCTTAGTTGACTATATTTGCTTTCTCTGTTTTCTTTTGGGGTGGTGATGTGAGGATTGAACCCTGCCTTATCTGTGCTACTGCTAATCTATTCTACCACTGAAGCACAACCCCATACCTACTTTTTCCTCTTAAATAATTAATTACACATACACATATCTTATACTGTATTGTCTGTCAAAATGACTGCCAATTATCTTTAATGGTAGTTTGATGGGCCAGGCATGGTGGTGCTCACCTTTAGTCCCAGTACTAAGGAAGCAGAGGCAATAGAATCTCCATAAGTCCCAGGCCAGCTGGAGCTATTTAGTGAGACCCTGTCTTAAAAGGGATATCTTGCTTGATGAAAAGAAAAGTATATATTTAACTTAAAATATAAATGTACACAAACATAAGACTACCTACTTTAATCATCCTAGACATTAGTAATTTGACTTTTAAAATAGTATTTGAAAAGTATAAAAGCTGTATAAAGCCAAAGTGCTATTTCTCAGCCTAATGAGTAATATCATTTTATATGCAAACATTGCTGGACTTTTGTTCTCACAGGCGCTTGTGAAATTTGTTGCATAGCATCTGAAATTGGAAAGCATTTTGTAGGCAAGGAAGGTTTTGAATCATTTGTGAAGTACATTGGTTAGAAGATCTGAGTGCTTTGCTAGATTCACAGAAAGAGATCTTGAGTCTTGATTATGTAACAGCTGTTAGTATTCAGGCATCTATACTGGCCTGCTCTTGGGGTTCTGACAGGATATGCCCTCAGCTGCACCACCTGTGCACATTCACTAACTTCTCTTTTAAAAGGGCCCTGCCTACCTCCCATCTCTCTCTCTCTCTCTCTCTCGCTCTCTCTCTCTCTCGCTCTCTCTCTCTCTCGCTCTCTCTCTCTCTCGCTCTCTCTCTCTCTCGCTCTCTCTCTCTCTCGCTCTCCCCTCTGTCCCTCTCTGTCTCTGTGTCTCTGTCTCTGTCTCTGTCTCTCTCTCTCTCTTTCTGTCTCTCTCTCTCTCTCTCTCACACACACACACACACCCTCTCTCCCTCCCTCTTCCGTCCTCCCTCCCTCCCTCCCCCCCTCTCTCTGCCCCACCTCTGCCCTCCCCCTCTGCCTCTCTCTTCTCTTCTGCAGTTCCTGTCCCCAGAGGACTGGTTTTGAAATTCTCCCCTCTCCTTCCCCCCCTTTCCCCCAGTAAAAAAAAACCCTCCACCCAAGTTCTGTTGCATGGCTTCTTTCTCTCTAGCACTGACTTTTAAAGTTACAACAACAGCTATTGATGCTGATTGATAATATATTCATTGTCCTATTCATTTTACTTATAACTTAGTCTACAAAATGCTATTTTAAATATAACCAGTGGGAGACACAAAGAAGCTAAAAACCTTCTTCAATCTGCTATGATAGATCACAATCTATACAAAGAAAATCTGGGCAGTTATGCAAAAATCCAACTTTTCCTGATTATCCTGAATGGTTCTGACTCCCTTTTTAGTACAGTACTCTTTAAAAGAAACCAAATTCAGGTGTTTGAGTTCTGTAATCTTAAAACCAGCTAATATTCAAAATTAATTTTGATAAATAATTCTTCATAGGCTACCCCAAGTTATACACTGAGCTAAGGATAATGTTTCATGAAATGAGGAGAGCGACCATATGATATATTAATGTTTTTCCATTATAATACAGTATGAGCTTGAAATTAAAATAAAGGAAATGACCATATGATATATTAATGAGTTTGCATTATATACAGTATAACCTTGAAACTGTCAGACCCCCAGGAAAGTTCAGGCCTCCAGGATCTCAACCCAGGACTTCGATCACCCCAATCACCAGGCAGATTTGAAAGCTTGATGCAAACAGCATGAGGCTTTATTGTTGTTTAACGAGCTAACCCCATGTTAGCTCAGGTCTTTCACCCAATCGCCATGGAGGATGGCTAGAAAAGACAGCTTGAAGCGGCTGCATAGAGATCTTGTAGGGCAGTGTAAGGGGAGTGTCTAGGCTAAGCACAGGCTTAGGATTGGTGTGGCTCCAGGCTTGAAGGGCTTGCCCTGTGTTGATTGGTCAACTGGTTGTTACGGCCCATAGGCCCTCCCAGGGTGATTGCTATGCTCTGCGCATCATTGCTGTGTACTTGTCCGTAAAGCGCACACAGAGCTGTAAAGCATAGCACCACTAGCTAACTTCTGATTGGTTCCTTGCCATGAGGCAGGCATCTGACCTCCTAGTGACCAAGGCAAGGTCATGGCAAGCACATGTTCGGCTGTTATGGCCGAACATGTCATGGCTGGTCCCTTCAAAATTACCATCACTTCATATTGTTTTCTTAAAAAGGTTATCTGTGTTGGTACTGGATAAGTTTATGGTTTTGATTACAAGATTTAGTGTGCTTAATTGTTCTGCTAAATGTATTTATCTATTGTTTATGGTAGAAAAGTAATGCTGTAGTGTAGTTTGCTGGATGGATGACTTTCTGAAATTGTCTCCTGAGCCATGACACCTGGCACTGTTTATGGGTCTTCTGGAACCTGGATTCACAATTTCTTGGAAAATTTAATCTTGAAGACACTTGAATTTCTAATGTTAAGAAAATCACTCAAATTTACAGTAAAGAAATGCAAACAAAATTTAAAAGCCTTCCTGTCCTTTGCCATCTGTGATCACAGTAGGTGAAAGATCACAGTGTTCATCACAGTTAATAAACCACCAGGTGTTTCATTCTTTCACTATCAGCCTATACTCTGAAGCTGCTTTTTATTTTTAATGATCATACAAAGTAATTTTTTCATTATTGCATTTTAATGCATTTTAAAAACTCTCCTTACTCACTCTTCTTCTTTTTTTATTTTTATTTTATTTTATTTTATTTTTATTTTTTTATTTTTTATTTTTATTTATTTATTTTTGGTTTTTTGAGAGAGGGTTTCTCTGTGTAGCTTTGGAGTCTATCCTGGCACTCACTCTGTAG